TTTTGCAAGTTCTTTGGTCGATACAATGACCTAGTCAGGAAATAGAATTTATCATTGAGTCAAATGCTGACTGACGTTTTTCATACTAATTGTTAGTCCATTATTTATACACTAAATAGACAACGAACTTTTCCGTTGTTTCCTGATCATGACAAGGAGAACACGGCGGGTGTGACCGGTCAGCAATGAATGTTCACACCTCCATGGCACCTGCTCACACTCCTGACGTTTTAGAGGTCCGTGTTTGCTCTGCTCCAATTTTGTATTATTTTGTGGACTTTATTATTGATTACTGTTCGTTATCTCCATAACTTTCATGTATAAGCACTGATACAAGATTTATCATAATATTTATGCTTTCTTAAATTTTATTCTGACAAAATAGAGTGAAAAATGCATTTTGAATTAATTATTTGATTTGTCTATTTTAATAAAGCACATTGTCTTCAGTGTTAAAACAACAGTTAATGTATGAATAAATTGAATATTTAACGACGGCATAGGGAAAATTATCATAATGGCTATTACTAAAGAAATGAAAACATACGAAATTTTTAATAACACCTCCAAGATAACAAATAATTATGATACCATACTTCAAAGTGATAACTATTAAGGACATGCAAGCTCTAGATATTACATATATTTTGTTGTAAAAAAAAATGGCGTGCCATATCCAAGCTGCAAACCAGCATCAACGTGATGATTAAGGCATGCAAGCTCTAAAACTACATATATTTAGTTTTATTTTTTATGAAAGTGTAAGAAATTAAATGTGCGAAGATATATAGAAATAGTGCCAATAGCAACGATATATGTTAGTGTTAAAATTATAAATAATTTTTCAATAATTTAATAATCAATCAAAATTGCTTGTTTTAACTTTATAGGAACGTTTGGAATACGGAACTTTCGAGATACTCCGGATATGGCTGTTTACGTTCGGATTTTATACACCGCTGTCACGTGATAAGGCTGAAATGTAGGGCATATTTTGTTGACATCGAAACAAAATGGAGTGTAACGAAGCAGACGAAAACAAGCCCCCAAAGAGAAAAAGTGAGAAGCATGAAGACGAACCAAGTCATTATTGGTGTTCCGTGCCGGGTTGCACATCAGATGGCAAGAAAAAGGCAAATTTAATTAAATAAATGTGGATGAGGGGAGTGCAGTTCTACCCATATCCAGGAGCTAAACGTAAGGCAAAGTTGAGAAAGAGGTGGCTGCAGCAGGTTTTCAGGGATGAGAAGTATGCCCCAAAACGCCGCCATTATGTGTGTTCACGACATTTTACAGATGGTTGTCCAACAGAAGAAAATCCTGTCCCTACGTTATTTCCACGCAATAAAGTCGCCAAACAGTCCAGAACAACAACCTCTATCGAGAAACGTCAACCAACCAATTCTTCGTCTGATTCAGCTACAGTAGCGGAGACGTCAGTTCATTCCAACAAGTGTGCACCAATGGAATGTTTACCGGTTAACAAATTATTTCATTCCTACATAAAAATTTATGCATGCTATGAGGCTATATATTGTGTATCATCAATGTAACTAATTGTTTGAAATCAGAAATCTAATATTAACAAAATATACATGTTTATTCACTGGGTATAATACTATGTGATATAGATAGTTTTCGATTGACCAAGAGTTACTTCCCGTTGGTCGCCATACTGGAGGTCCAAACGCTCATATTCCTTCATTGTTCAACCAATTTAAAATTTTTATATTTGCTATTCTGAATTGGAAATCATTATTTTTCTGAAGTATATAAATTTTTGGAAGCCTCTTTTATTTAAAAAAAATTATTTGATAAAGATTTTCCACCAAATATTTCTGCTATAGTTTCTTAAACTTGGTAAGACAAAGAGGGAAAATCACTGAGTCGACCTCCAATATGGCGGCCAACGGGAGGTAACTTTCGCTAAATTCAGGCCTATCGAAAACTATCTATATAGGCCTATATCAAATTTAAGGTATCCGACCCATATTAGGACCAAAATTTCTAACCTTAATTATCAATGGTTTGTAAAATATCCTGATTTTATTTCAAAGCATTTTAGAATAGAAAGGGATTTACCAAGAAAAATTTTCAAAAATTTTATTACCTAAGCAGAAATTAATTATTGAAGATTGCATTGAAGTCTATGGCAGGAAGTTAGTTTTTTTAAGATAAAAAATAAATACTTCAAATATCAAAAAATGCTGTGGTGGAAAGATGTAATTGATCAATGGGAATAGGAAAAAAATTGGAAATAATTTTTTTACCAGACAGATTTTTAAAAATTAATTTTCATTGACTTAAATCAAAGGGAGATAACTCGTCAAGGGCAGGGAAAGGTCATAAATTAGGACATGTCTCACTCTTACATTCTTATACTAAAATATGAAAATAAGATCTATCTACACTGATTATTCAGCCCAAACATATCTATTATGCATTCAATTCCATTGAATCTGAGGCTAATATGGATCGGATACCTTAATATTAAATATTTATTATTATTATAAATGCATAATAAAGTTTAATACCAAGAGAATTATGCATTCAAAATGATATGTGACATTTCAAAGCATTATATATTTTTTTCAGATGGAGGATATCACAGTTTCATGTGAGGGGAATGCTTGTGTACATATACCTCTTCCAGTAGCACATGAGTGTGTCATAGAACAGATATCAAACGAAACCTGTATCAAGGAACCTTGCTCCAAGACTGAGAATATTTCTAGTGGAAAATACAGTAAGGGTGATGACTCGGATATTTCATTAGCATAACTCTGAAATGTGTTATGCAATTTGTAGTATACATGTATATCAATTTATTATAATTTATATAAGTTATTATTTTTATAGACCACGACCATATATACAGCAAACAGTCTGTGGAACCTATATGCAGTGAAGATTTTGTTGATTTTGCTGTGCAGACAGACCTGACCATGAAGGATATACGTCATATGGAAACTATGACCAAAGAGACAGACCATATCCACAGAGAGCATTTTGTCAATAGAATTACACAGTCCGACTCAGCAGTCAGAAGATATTTAGGCGTGCCTAGCATAACTATGCTCTTTGGATTGTTTGGTAGGATTTTTGAGGATTTAGTTTAAAATTTACTTAATACTACTTCATATGTATTTTCTTAATTGCAGCTAATATTGATTTGTATAATATTTGAATGCTCTGCAGTATTTTGTATATTTGCTTTTAGATAAAATTTTGTTTCTGCTTACAGCAATACTGGACAAAGTATGCACAAAACTCAAGTACTGGTCAGGAAAGAAAAGCATAGCGAACATGAATTACGAAACCTCTGAAATCAGAAAACCAGGTCCAAAGAGGAAGTTGACAAGGTTCCATGAGTTTTTATTAACACTTCTCACACTAAGACTTTCTGTTCCCTCCTTTTTGATTGGTGATTTGTTTGGTGTATCAGAGACACGAGTATCACATATAGTGTGTACATGGATAAACTATATGTATCAGAAAACATATGCCAAGGTCTTTCAAACAGACATTTCCTCGTACAAGAGTCGTCATAGACTGTACTGAAATATTCATTCAAAAGCCAAGGACACCTACTGCTCAAAGCCAAACGTACAGCAATTACAAAGGACATAATACCTTTAAATGCCTTGTTGGTATAACTCCTACCGGTGCGTTTTCTTATGTATCTGAATTGTGGGGTGGCAATGTGTCTGACAGGTACATTACAGCCAATAGTGGTTTCTTGGATTTGATATCTGCTGGAGATGAGGTGATGGCTGATCGGGGTTTCATCATCAGAGACTATCTATTGGAGCGAAAGGCAAAGTTGGTCATACCACCATTTACACATAAATGTGAATGGGGAAAAGGAAAACGGTTAAATGCGAGTGAGATTCGGAGAACAAGACAGATAGCGAAACTACGGATTCATGTGGAACGTGCTATACAACGTTTGAAATCATATAAACTGTTATCTGGCATTTTACCAATCAACTTAAAGCCAATTGCAAGCCAGATTCTTGTTGTTGCTGCATTTCTATGAAATTTGTCAAAACCTCTTGTGAAAAATTAACAAGATGCTTCATATTTGACATTTTTTAATTTGTTAATTTGATTTTTGGTGTTACCTAAAAAATATAGAAGTTGTTGTTTTTACATTTACTGTTTTATTATTGTTGATTTAACAATGTTCAATATTATACAAAAAATATTTAACTGCATTTCTTTTTTCATATTCATGGAATACAAGTCAACAACATAGAAGTATGAGTGAGTGGTTCTTATTGCTATTCAGATGTCTTAATCTCAATCATTAGACAAAACACAATACAGTGTATCATACAAGATGCGATGTAATCTAGTACAGGGCATCAAATTACAGCAGAGAATTTATATTCTACATTTTAGCAAGCAGTGCAGGATGAACATAATTTGTGAAAAAGGTGCTGCACTTGTTAACAATTTCATTGAAGAAAGATTCATCATAATAAATTATATCACTGATAAAACCCATGTCTGTATAAAAAAACAAAGTCACACCACCTAGCATTACAAATATCAAGCTGTCCTTGAATCTGCACATACCATGGTGAATCTGCTCTTAGTTTGACAACATCATTCGTGTCTCTATACAAATGATAATGATGGTCACCTGCTACATCATACGGTATTTCATTTCTGTGGGAGTAGGAGCATTTTACCTCAATTTAACCTTTCCCACAACATTTGCATGACAAATATGCATCTGGTGATCTGGTGATGCACCTAAAAATAGATGTTGCTGAGATATGTTTAAGCCACAAGGTCTCATTTTTGCATTTACATGATCACGAGCATACATGTCAAAAAACAATTGTTTAGCTACAATTTCACTCTGTCTTCCATACCTTACTGCATCTGTGTTTAAGGCATTAGAGTTATCATTTAGAATTTCACTTGTGATGTAATTATCATGACTCCCCCCTCTAAAATGGCATACTTTTGAAAACAAGGAAAATGTTATTCTACCATACCTGTATTTGCTCAACTTCATGAATAATATCAGAGTTATACACATTTCTTAAATAACCTATCAAGGATTCTCCAGTCTTAATTGTGTGTGTCAAAGCAGCTATCATATCAGGCGGATCTTCATGATGATCTTCCTCCTCATCTGAATGGGGGTCTAATGTGTGTAATAGAAGAGCACCCGTACCTTGACACATTGTATACAGTTCTTTTTCGACTTCTCTGTTAATGTCACTGGTGAGAGTAGGGCATGGCTGGTAGTCCTCTTTGTTTGGTATGAGTGGAACTTCCCTGTGGGAGATGCAAATTTCCTTAACACGACAAGGCTTGCTTTCCTTACGTGGCTTGTCCCAAACACACTTCACATCGGTTCCCACCTCGGTATGCCTGTCCTTATGGCGGTCGCAAAAAAATGCAAGAGAAAATGACAGGGCTGTGCAGTGCGTGCAAGAACCATCATCCCTAAAAAGACAAAAAGTAGCATGTTAATAATTGCTCGAATTTAGGGATTGATATAATGTAAATCATAAATACTATGACTGTAATTACATCTAGTAAAAAAGCACAAAACTGGACTTACGCAACACAGGAGCAGCCACCTGATATGATACAGCCATCAGCCTTGACCAGTAACCATGTCCTGTAAGGGTACTCAGATTGACGGGTTTCTGGTGTTGTGTTACACATAATATAAGAATATTCTGAATCCAATAAGCACACTCGAACACTGTCAACATGATTGTTCTGATATAATAGATAGCCCCTGTCTTCTTTGTATGAATGAAGGCGATTCTGATCCCAACCAATGTTAATCAAATGCACAAAAACATCGGCAATGTCTATATCTGGAACACTCTTTAGATCTCCATTCCAATCACATAATTTAACCTGAAAATGTTGTAATACTCCAAATGAAATTCTGGATATTATAAAATCTCATTACATATATCATGTTGGCAAGGTTCATGCCTCTCTTACCCTCTAATTTGCTGTAATTTTATATTTATTTAATTTACTTATTGTTGTATATGATATAAATTTGAGATAAATATGATTTTCCCCATAAAAAACAGACTTAAACTGTACCTCGCTTATGCTGGGCAAGATGCGGTCTCCGACCGTTCTACGACGAACATCCATATCCACATAATCATCTTTAGTTTCTATATCTTCTAGGTCTATTTCTCGGGTGCGTCGATTTACCCAAAAGGACCCAAAAGGAACCCAAAAGGACCCAAAAGGACCCAAAAGGAACCCAAAAGGACCCAAAAGGAACCCAAAAGGACCCAAAAGGACCCAAAAGGAAATCAAAAGGACTATATTATGATACATTGAAAATTAATGATTTGAATTAAATTATGAATATTATATTATAAATTTACCTAAAAGTTGTCAAAAACATACATTTATATTGTTGCAACTGTTCTTAAAGAAATAACAGACGACTTTTATAACACATCAAACACTAAATCAGGTCAGACATGCTTCAATTTCTTTTAGCTGAATTTAACAAAGTACACTTTATTATTCTATTTCTCCTTCTGTTTTACCATATCTGACTATATATTTGATAAATAAAGAAATAAGTTTTATTTAAATGACATGTTCTAGGCATATGGTATCGGGGATGGGTGGGGTGGGGGGTTGGTGGCGGACCTCACACCCCCACCCTCACCCCAAACACATACTTTACCCTCAAAAAACTAGTTTTAGTTTTAATAAAATATGAAAGAATTTTATTATATTATAGTATTTCACCTGCAGCTACATAACTAAACTGTGATGGCGGATAAAGCAGAGAAATACTATGGATAAATTCCGCACGTTTATTAGTGGTCGCCAATAATATATCAACAATAATACAGTGACTTACAGAGGATTGGTAAACACGTCTGAACGGGTCGACAATCAGCAATCAGAGAGAGAGACGATTACGTCACAGCCCGCATCACTGCCGGGCACGTGGTCTGGAGGTGACTAGAGAAATCGTTCCCAGCCCCTCCGAGACCACTACACTCCTCCCCATTTTGAAAGAGGGCGTCCCAGCCCGAGAAGTAAATACAATGGGACAAACTATAATATACAAATAATAGTAATAATTAACACCTAGCAGGGCCTATCTTACATACATACACACGCATTCACACAATAATGAAACTTTAAACATTAATGTCTCTATAACAATAAAAAATCACAAATTTAACAGTTCCTATCACACAGTCACTCATCCTCCGCGTCGTCTCGGAACACCACGAGGTCCATCGTTGTTAACATCCACCAAGTGGTCCATCGTTGATACATCTGGATAGGCTCTGCTTAGTACATCAAAGGCGACATCTATAGTGCGGCTGGTTCCGGCCATCAGGACTATCTGCTCCCGATGCAGGTAAACTCAGGTAAGTACATCCGGGCTTCACTTCCCGGCTACAGCGTAAGTATTTATAACGACCCCCTCAACTGAGGCCCAAAGAACACCCTGAAGTTCCTAAGAACCAGGCCCGCTAGCAAGGCGACGTCCTGTCCCCTCGCTGCGGCTACTCTGCGGTACACTTCTCCGATGTGCCTGGGGCCCATCGGCGCTTCAACTCCACAAAGAAACTCAGGACTATCCGACTCGACTAGCAGTCGGTCGGTAGGAATAGCTCTGACTCCCGACAACTGGGTTGCGGACATATCCGCAATCTGACCTCCGATTCCAAAGAATACGGGCCTGCCAGACTCCACCCAGAGCTTCACCTGCTCGGGTCCTCCAGTGAAACCACGGATAAAGATGGGTACTAGGATAGGAACAAACATCCCGTCCATAAGGGTAAGGCAATCTTGGGTAGGGACGCGGCCCAAAGGGTCGTCCGCGGTCCCCTTCACAACCAATATCATCCCGGTACTGAACGTGGCCTGGCGGAAGAACTCCGCCAGCACAAATCTCTGGCACCTCTGTGTGGCTGGACCGGAATAATCCAGTCCGATCTCCCCTAACACAAAGTTCCTGCTTCTACACTCTCCCACAACGCGGGCTACATCGGACTGCAGAACAAAGTCCGCAGACCCAGGGGAAATCCCCTGAGCTACCACCCACTGCGGATTGCCTAAGTCCGAGAGGGGCTCCTCTCGGAAACCATACGCTACGCAACCACCCACCAGCTCCACTCGTACATCGACGGGGCGGTGGTCCGCGCGCAACAACTCCCCCACCGACTGTCCCTCACCACCCGGGATCCTCCGGGGGAACCACAAACAGTCAACAACCTGGATCAGAGGGACCTGGGGGTCCGCTGACCAAGAAGGCCGCGGCGCTCCGCCGCTGGCGCCTTCCTCCGGCGGAACCACAACAACAACTGGTGGTTGCGGGCTCTCCGCTACACATCTCTTCCTCGGCGGAGCTTCCGCCCTCGAAGACAAACTCATCAACTTCCTTAGACATCACTTACGAACCTACAAAGACATGTAAGTTTATCAAACCCGTTAGACATAGGTTTACTAACTAATTCATGTACAAGTCTACCTAAACCTGATGTTAACCTACTAGAACTTGCACACGCTTCCGCATCATTGCGGAAACCTAACTACTCTAACTACCCAGTGTCGACTCCGACGGGACTACATTCGGGGCAGATATATTGAGGTACAGATTTGGCATAATCCTCACTTATACCCACACACCCTGGGTGAAACCAGTCCCGACAGCTGTCGCACTGCACCATCATTCCTTTGGGATTAGACTGTAAGCAAACACAGTATTTCTTGGTTTTAGTCCCCCTAGTGGCTCTAGGTCTCTTGGGCGATTGGGGTTGTTTATTCTGGTCTAATCTTTCCCTAACCCGTTTACGAGTACCCATATATGGACCTACTGACTCCGCTGGTTTTGGGCTAACTATTGAGTGACCCCCACTCCCCGGGATCTCAGGACTTAATCCTGACTCTGCGGACCCCAGCGGTGTTACCACGTCATGAACAAGGGAACTATCCCCATCTCGGGCTACTGACTGTCCGGGCAACTTATTTTTGTAGTTTACTAACCATTTAGGGAGTTGCCTGGACTCGCACTTTTTAAGCTTGTCATGGTGCATGACCTTGACCTCGCGCCGAGATTTAACCACAAATATTGTGTCCGATTTGACTTCGGTTATTATCCCAGGACCCCTCCATACTGACTCTACCTTTTTTCCCGCATTGCGGCGCCAGTAGACCAAGACCCATTTTGAAAAGACGTGGAAGGCGGTGGGGCGAACATCAAGGTTGCTGGTATATTTACTTCTCTACCCAGCATGAGACGATTTGGAGTGTATCCAGTATGGCGGTTTACCGCGGACCGCAACGCTCCAGCCAATGGGCCTAAGTACTTATCCCATGACTTGGGCTGGCCATCTACGTAGCAACGAACCGCGTCCATTAGAGTGCGGTTATAGCGCTCTACCTGGCCATTCCCTGACGGACGGTAGGGTGTGGTCCTGGCTTTATGGATCCCCAACATGACACAAATCTTACAGAAAAGTTCGCTCTCGAAGTTGCGGCCCTGATCTGTAAAGATTTCGTAAGGATAGCCGAATCGAGAAAAGAAGTCATTGATAGCGGAACGGGCGGTAACCTCCGCTGTCTGAGACGGAAGCGGAATACACTCTACCCACTTGGTGAAGTTATCTACCATCATGAGTATGTATTCGTTCCCGCTATCAGTTCGGGGAAGCGGCCCGAGAAAGTCTAAATGTACCCTCTCCATCGGGCTTCCCGCTTGGTAGCTCTTGAGTTCTGACCTGTTTGGCAACGAACCACGCTTATTCCTGGCACATACGTCGCAGGTCTTGACATATAATTTAATGTCTTTTGTCATCCGCCACCAGTAGAACTGTTGTTTAAGGCGTTCTTTAGTTCTCTGGATTCCCTGGTGACCAGAGGACGGTATGTCATGACATAAGTGCATGATCTCGGATCTGAGACTCCGCGGCACTAGGAGCCGACGGGGCGCATCCGAGTCATCCGGTTCTCGCCAAACAACTCCTGTCTCGTCGAGATAAAAGCAGTCTCGCTCCAGAAGATAACACTTTTCTTCCGGACTGCAGATAATTAAGTCACTTTCGGTAGGTAGGTCCCCAGACTCTAAGTACTGTCTTAGGTAAACTATAGCTTTGTCATTCTTCTGTTTCTGAGCTAGGTCTGCGGGACTGTATGAAGATAAGGAAATTCCCGCAGTGTCACCTGTTACCTGACAGACTTGAGGACTAACTGTCTCAATCTTGGGATTTAAACTCGACACCCCACTGACATTAATCTGGAAACTGGGGAGTGCAGACGCACTCACAGTCGAGGGAGTGTCTTCCCAAGGACTGGAAACAATGGCCTGACGAAGGGTAGGATCTAATGAACTACAGTTTCCCCCCTCAGCGGACGGACTCTCCGCTGGCACAGGCGTCTCGTCAAAGAGTTGGGACAAAGGAATTACATCGTCTATTTCAGTGTTAAAGTCATGCCAGCGCTCATGGGCTCGGCGGCAGTAACGGCATCCGCCGCAGGGCAAGTCTTCGACCCTAATCCTCGTCGAGTACCCCTGGCATGAATCAGGTATGTCCCGGGACAGAGCGTCAGCATTCACATGCTTCTTTCCCGGGCGGTGTACGATCCGCATGTTGTACTGGCTCAGTTCCTCGAGCCATCGAGCAATCTGGTTCTGCGGATGCTTGAAGTTCATTAGCCAGACCAGGCTATGATGATCGGTCCTGACTGTGAACTCTCGACCCAGCAGGTAATGGCGGAATTGTCTGGTAAACTTAATTACCGCCAATAGCTCTTTACGAGTTGTACAATATCTGCGCTGTTCTGCGGATAGCACAGCACTCCCATACCCAATGGTTCTTTCTTTGCCATCCTGGACTTGGCTCAATTCCCCGCCTACGGCATAATCCGAGGCGTCAGTGTCCAGGATGAAATGACCTGTACTGTTCGGTATGGCTAGAACTGGAGGAGGAGTCATTAACTGAATGAGTTTCTCGAAAGCACTCTGCTGCTCTTCACTCCACCGGAAACCACTTTTTCCGGTAACCGCATACAACGGAGCCGCAATTCTGGAGAAGTGGGGGATAAAACTGCGATGATAATTGGCGAAGCCAAGAAAGCGCTCTACGCCCTTAACATCACATGGAACTGGCCAGTCACGCACTGACTCGATGTACTGGTCCCCCATCTCAACTCCGTGCTCGCTCACGGTTCTACCAAGGAACTCAACCTTCGTCTTGAACAGCTCGCATTTCCGAGGCTTGAATTTAAGGCCATATGCTCGGAACCGCTCAAACACTTGTCTTAGGTTATCAAGGTGAGCGTGTGCGGTAGATTCTAGGACTAAGACATCATCTAGGAAGGCTAAGGCTATCTTCCAGTTGAGTCTGTGTAACACCAAATTTATGGCCCTGGCGAAGGTGGCAGGGGCGTTACACAAACCAAACCCCATTCTAGTGAATTCAAATAACCCATATTTTGTGATAAAGGCAGTCTTTTTCCGGTCTTCCGGAGCTATCTTAACCTGCCAGTAAGCCGCATTAGCGTCCAACTTGGAGAACCAGCGGTTTCCCGCTAGCGTATCCATGCACTCCTCGATGAGTGGCAGAGGGTACGTGTCCTTGACTGTCACCTTATTCAGGGCTCTGTAGTCCACGCACCAACGGACGCTGCCATCCTTCTTCCGGACCAGCACTGGGGCAGACGCCCAGTCTGAGGAAGATGGCTGGATGACTCCGGCTTTCAACATCTTATCGAGATGACCCTCTTCCTCCCCTTGAAAAACAGCGGGGGTGCGTCGCATCCGCTGCTTGACAGGAGACGCATTTCCGGTGTCTATTCGGTGTTCGATCTCGGAAAAACTTCCGAGATCAAGGTCATCAGTAGCAAAGACGTCGGCAAACTTTTTGACTAGCTCCGCTGCCTCGGATCTGACTTCCACAGGCGCGGTCTTATTTAACTGCTCTAAGAGTGGGGCAATATGGTCATAAGTCCTATCCCCCTCAAAGCTTACACGACGCACTGTGGGCTTAGTGTCATTGACTAGATCGGCAGGGACTGCTTTCCCCACCTTAGTACCTGTTTTAACAATATGACTTCGGTCTGTCATGTTCAAGATACACAGCTTGGCTCTGTTACCTGCAGTGTTGTATGTCCGCGAAGCTACTATACCAGGCGGAAATATACTGGCTGGCTCCAGCATAAACTCTGGCATATCGGAACTAAGGGTACTCTCGATGATTTGAGCAGTGTGCGGGGGAATCCGCACCCTGCGGACTGAAACCGCATCGAGTACTGGTACTGACTCATCAACACTCATAGCAAATGTAGTGTCAATGCCCTTAACCCTTAAAGTACCGGCTTCACAAGAAATCTCTACACCATGCTTACGCAGGAAATCTATGCCTAGGAGCATCTCGTCCTGCAGAGAACCAACATAGATCGGGAGTACAAAGTCATAATCCCCGATGCGTATATTAAGACAACCGAGGTACTGAGCGGTCATACCAGCTCCCTCGCCAGCCAACCTAACATTAGTGTCACTTAAAACTTTGGGCTGCGGCCTCAAAGATTTATAAACGTCACTAGATATTATTGATATGTCGGCTGCGGTATCGATTGTCGCCCGCACCTGTTGGCCTCCAATCTGTATCGGAATCCGCCAAGCTCCTGAACCAATGACTTGACTACCAGACCTGACAGATGGTATAACATAAGTCGCTTTGACATTTGGTTCAGTGAACTTCACTTTAGTCTCATGTTTCGATGTGCGATGTCTGTCCTCGTCCTCGCTATTTACTGACTTAAGGCAAGGCTTAGGGGACCCCAATCTACGCCGTCGCTGGCGGATCGGGCAATCGCGTAAGAAGTGTCCTGGCTCCTGACACTCAAAGCACACAATGGGCTTCGTCGCGCTAGAGCGGCCCCTACTCGGTGACGGATCCCTCGAGGATCCTCGCTCGCGACTGGATCTTCGGGTGCGGTCCTCCGAGTCACTGGAGTAATGTCTCTTACCTGCGTCCCAATCCGGTGACTCGGAGCGGTCCCTACTAGCGCGGCGATCAGAACGGTCTCTGCTGGCACGGCGAGGACGGTCCTCGCTGGCACGATGAAGACAGTCCCTGCTGGCACGATCTGGGGAACGGTCCTCGCTGGCACGATAAGGACGGTCCCTGCTGGCACGATAAGGACGGTCCCTGCTGGCACGATAAGGACGGTCTCCGCTGGCACGATTAGAGCGGTCCCTTGATTCCGAGCGCTCTCTGCGTGCCACGAAAAAGTCTTGGTTCTCAGAGTCTGACCTGGCGCGATAAAAGCCTGAACTTGGCGACTGACTTCGGTCCCTCGAAAGCGATTGCACTGCCCTAGGACGGCGGGCTAAAGCTCTACGGCTAAGTTGATACGTTTTTACACGCTTA